TGTTTACGATGCTGATGATGTTTATAATGATGATAATGATTCCCCCCTCAGCGGGCACCGTGCGCTGCACAGGAGCCGCCCCGCGGCCGCGGCCGCCGCGCCGAAGCCTCAGCCCCGGCCCGCCGCGCCCCCGCCCCGCCCCTCGCGGGAGCGGCTCCGCGCCCGTCCACAGGCTTGCAGCCGCACCGGGGAGCCGAGCCTGCCACTCTTGCTCGGGTGCAGGCCTCGGCGGAGGCGCCTCAGCACCTCGGCCTGCCGGCCCTCCACGCGCCAGCGGGGGACCCGGCGGGCGGGGCACTCCTGCGCGAGGCCCATGATGCGGGCCGAGCCCGCGTTGGCGCCGCACACGTTGCAGAAGACGTGGCCGCCGCACCTCATCAGGACGTGCGAGTCGTGCAGCTCGGCGTTCCACCACGCTGGCGGCGCCTCGCTGCCCCCCACGGCTGGCGCGAGCGCGGAAGGGGCTGAGGCAGGCTGCCCGCGACCGCCACCTCGGCCCCTGCCGTGTCCGCGGCCACGGCCTCGCCGCGCTGGCCCAGGCGAGGCGGGGGCAGGCGGCGGCTCCTCGGCAGCAGGGCCCTCCGGCGAGGCGGCCCCGCCAGCCGGCTCTCCGCCCGACGACGCGGCGTTCACCTGCTGCCTCAGCGGCGCCTCACCGCTGGCGGGCTCGCCGTCGCCGTCCCCCCCTTCAGCGGCGCCGTGCGGGCGGGCCGCCATCGCCGCGGCCACCGCCGGAGGCGCCTCGGCGGCGGCGGCGGGCTCCTCCGCCGCGGCGGGCTCGTCAGCGGGGGCACCACCTGGGCCAGCCCGCCCTGGCGGTCCCTCCTCGCGGGCGGGCTCGCCTCTGCCGTCGCCCCCGGCTGCCCCGCGCGGCCGGGCCGCCGCCGCAGCGGCCGCCAAGGCGAGGGCGACAGCCCCGGCCGCGCCCGCACCGTCGCCTGAGCCCCAGCTCCAGGCGGCTGCTCGGCCCCCTTGCACGGGAGTGCCCATGGCGGCGCAGACCCAGCAGCTCCAGCAGACCGACTCGCCCAGCAGCAGCGCCGTGCCATGGCGGTCGCAGGCGCGGAAGGCGCAGTTGGGCCCGCCGACCGCGCAGGCTGCCATTGGGCGCTGTCGGCAGCCCGCCCAAGCGCACCTGATCGCCTCAAGGCCAGGCGCCTCGAAGCCGTCGGCCGCCCGCAGCAGCGAGTCGCCCTCCTGCATGGCCTCCCCCAGCCAGTCGGAAACACATTTGGCGAGGCTCTCTGCGAGGTCCACCATGTCGAGCCGCGCCTGCGGGACGCCGTGGAGAGCGGCTCCCTCCTTGGCTCGGCTGTCCGCCCTGGCGTTGCCCGCGCGCTGCCTGTCCGTGATGAGGCCGTCGCGGACGTGCTGCTCCGTCGCGTGCGCCTTCACCTTGCAGACCTGTACCATGGTGACCCCGTAGTCCTCGACGAGCTGCCAGAATTGCACCCACAGCTCGCGGTAGGGCCGACCCCACTCCAGACACCAGCGCTTGCCGAAGGCCCAGCCGTCGTGCACCATCGCCGAGTCGGTGTAGAGGATGAGCGGCCCGATGCCGCCTCGCAGGGCCTCCACTGCCGCCTGCAGCTCCCTGGCCCCGCTGTCCTGGGGAAGCGGCCAGGCCACGTTGCCCCACGCCGAGCTGCGCTCCGAATCGTCAGCCTCCCACGTCGTGACCGCCGCCCAGCCCGCGCGCGCCAGCACCTTGTCCCTGGAGCGGAAGGCGGAGCCGTCGAGGAAGACCTCACGCTCGAAGACGGACCCTGGGTGGGTGCCCGAGCGTCTCACGAGCGTGCGAGCGAAAGGCAGCGGCGCCTCTGCTCGCGGGTCTGGCACCAACCCGCGTGACCTGATGTGGTGCTCCTGTCCTGGCCTGTGTCGGGCTCCGCCCTCTCTGCCTCTTGCAGCAGCGTGAATCTGGACCCGTCCGCCTGCTGCTGCCTCCGAGGCCCGTCGAGTGCTGGGCAGGGCCAGGCCAGGTGCCGGACCGTGCCCGCCTCGTCGCAACCCCACGGGCAGCGGGCCGAGGAGGCGAGCGGAGGGGTGGCCCGCGCTCTCCGCGGGACCGACCACAGGCAGCCCACCAAGGCGTTGCGTGCCGAGGAGCTGCAGGCCGCCTGCTTCGCCGTCGCCTTCTTGGACAGGAAGCCGCAACGCAGGCTGGCGACAGCCCCGCCGCGGCGCAGAGCCTCCAACTCCTCATGATGGTCTGCCGCCTCGCGCCAAAGCTGCCTGCGCAAGCCTGCTTCGACGATGCCCTGCAGGGTGTGGCGGCTGCTGGCCATGAGGTCCACCTCGCGGCCGAGGTCGTCCCGCAGCGTCCGGACTGAGGCCATGCGCCAGCCGAGCCGCGAGCACGTCAGCAGCAGGGCGCCCGCGGGGCCCGACCCGGGGAGCTTGGCCAGGCCCCTTTCCTGGGCCAAGCGCTGCGCGCCCACGAAGGCGCTCAGGATGGCGCGGCGGTCCTCCAGGCGCCCGGCCAATTGCAGGGCCTTCGCCCACGCGTCTAGCGGCTGGAAGGTATGCTGGAACAGGGGGTCGTGGCGGACCGACTCCGAGACCAGGAAGCTCAGCGCCACCGACCTCCTAGGAGCGCTGCCGAACAGCATGGCGGCGACCTTGCTGCGCCACGCCTGCAGCCTCGGCTCGGTCCAGGCCATTGCCCCGCAGCCGTAGTCCGTGGCTGGCAGCGAGCCGCTGATGACCAGCCGCCTGGCGCAGGGAGTGTGCCCTCGCCTCACCTGCAGCACGCAGTCTGTCTGCTCCGTCGCCTTCGCGAGGCGGCCGACGGCGACCGCCGAGGCGCCCGGCGCGGCGCCGTAATCGATCCCAAGGTTACGCGCCTCCGCTGACTGCTTCAGCTCGCCCTCGTTGATGCTGCCCACGAGCGCTGCGCGGAGGGCGGCCGTCGTCGCGAGCACCTCGGACTTCGAGCGCGAGACGACGCAGCCCATGTCCGCGTCCAGGCCGCGGATGAAGTCGCCCGCCGCTCCGCCGAGGAAGTGGGCCACCTCCCAGAACTCGCCCGCCATCCGCAGCGAGCAGTCGTCGAACATGATGGCGCAACTGACCTCCTTCCAGCGGCGGCGATGTTCCGCCTCCAGGACCATCATGGCGCACTTTAGGAGCCTCCCCGCGTGGCTGCAGCCCGCAATGAGGCCGCTCGAGAGGTAGAAGCACTCCGAACTCACGACCCCGTCGACGACCAGGTGCCGCGCGCCCGAATAGACGCAGATGGCGGCCTGCACCAGCTGCTCGGGGTAGCCCATGTCGAGCCCCCTCCGCTGCGCCATCGCCAGGCTCACCACCTCGTAAGCTTTCCAGAGGTCGAGGAGCACGCAACCTGCCGAGAGGCCCTGGGCACGGCTGGCCTCGTTGTGCAGGGCCTACCACCACACGGCCTCCGCCGAGGCACGTCCTTTCCCTCCCCAGAAGTTGGCCGCCGCCTCGGCGGGGATGCCCTCCTCCCATGCACGGGCGTCGCGAAGGCGGACGCGGCTCCACCAGCGAGGCAGCCGCTGGAGGAGGCCGATGGGACGCCAGCCTCCGCCTTGCTTGGCCAGCAGGACCACCAGCCCGCCGACCGCCGCCTCCGGCAGCGTGCCCGTGGCCTCCGCCGCCATGCAGAGGGCAATGAGGCACTCCATGAGCTGGTCGGAAACATGCACCAGCTGCCTCGGATGGAACTCGTCTGCGCCGAGGCCGAGTCGCCATCGGAAGGAACGAGCCGCCCGCCTGCCGTCCTCGACCGTCGGCCTGGCGAGGGGCGGCCCGAGCGGGGGACGCGCCAGGGCTGGCCCAGGGGCGAAGCGACGGCCCTCGGCGGGGCGGCTGAGCCTCGGGTGGGAGCCCGCTCCTGCCGGGCGCGCCGCCGCGGGCGCTGCGTCGGTCGGCAGGTCGGTCGGGCCCTCGTCCGCGCCTGCGGGGCGTCCGTCGGCCTGCCCGGCGGCGCCGCCGGCGGTCCGGTCTGGGCGGTTGCCGGAAGAGCGGTCCGGCAACCCAGCGCCGGGTGGGCCCCCGACCGCGCCTGCGGGGCGCCCGTCGGCCTGCCCGACAGCACCGCCGGCGCGCGCGGCGGCCGTCGGCCCGCGGGCTTCCGGGCGGCTCCCAGGACGCCGCGCCGCAGGGAGGCCAGGGGCAATTTCCGCGCGAATGTCTCGAACGGTTTTCTGCCGAGTTCCTTGGGACTCGGCAAAGAACCCCGCCCGTGACTTCCCGTGCCGGAGAAGCCGCTGGGCGGGCCCCCGACCGCGCCTGCGGGGCGCCCATCAGCCTGGCCGGCGGCCTCGGCGTCGCGCCCAGCAGCCAGGTCTGGGCGGTTGCCGGAAGCGCGGTCCGGCAACCCAGCGCCGGGCGCGCCCCCGACCGCGCCTGGCGCGGCCCCGGCGGGCCCGACGGCGGCCCCGGCGGCGTGGCCGGCGGCCCCAGCGGCGCGACCGGCGTCCTGGTTGGGGCGGTTGCCAGAGGCCTGGTTTGGCAACCCTGCGCCGGGCGGGCCCCGGACCGCGCCCGCGGGGCGCTCGTCGGCCTGCCCAGCGGCCCCGGCCCGCGCGCGGGGGCTGCCGGCGGCTGCGGGCGGGCCGTCGGGGCCAGCCTCGTCGGGCGGGCCATCCACTGTCGGCCCGACGACGTCGACAATGCAATCGGCCCACGCCGCCCCCGCGCAGCTGCTCGCTCGCTGCAAGGCCTCCGCGCTGAGGGCCTCCTGCGGCGCGGGCGCCAAGCCCAGGAAAGGGGGCGGCGTCCTCCGTGCCGTCGAAGTGGTCGGCGGCGAGCCGCCCTGGGCTCCTGAGCCGCGGCGGCAGCCGCTGCTCTCCCCGAGGTCCGACGACAGCTCCCTGGTCGTGCGCGCGCTGCTGGCCTCCTCGGCCGCTGCTGGCCCAGGGCCTGGCGGGGTGGACCCTTTGTCCATCTCGGCGGTGGCGCAAGCCCCCGAGCCTCCTCCCACCCTTCAGCGGGTCGCTCCCAGGGGCGGGCTTACCGTCTTCGAGGCCCACCTCGCCCAATGACGGAACGGGCGCGGGCTCGGTGGCCGACGGCCCCTCTCCCCCAGGAGCTGTCACCACGCCGGTAGGCTCCGCCTGCTGGCCCTCTCTGGCCGCGGAGTTTGAGCGGTGCGTCCAGACCTCGTTAGCCCAGAACTTGGCCGCGCTGTCGACCCGCTCCTGGCCGCATGCGGGCTCGGCGTCCGGCCCCGCGAGCTCGTCCGCCACCCAGCCGCGCGGCCCGCGTCTGAAGGCGTGGGCATGGCCCGCGCCCTGCGCCAAGGAGTCGCGCAGCCACTTGCTGAAGCCGCACGTCCGCTCGTACGCGAAGATCGACCTCTCCTTGGCCGCCTCGGCCCTGGCCTCCTGCTCCCACGCCCGTAAGCGTTCGGGGGAGCTGCTGGTCGCCTGGCGGGCTCGCTCGGCCCAAAGCTCTGGCATCGCGCCCACTGCCCAGGCTGGGAAGCTGCACGCTAGCCCCCGCGCCCTGTGGCCGAACAGGTCGGCAACGGCCGGCAGGCGCTTGGCCGCCGTGCCCTCCTTGGGGCGGGGCGCGCTGGAGCCATGGCCGCGCCCGCTCAAGTCGGGCTGCTGCCACTTGAACGCGGGCGGCAGCCCGCGACCCTTGAAGCTGTCCTCGTCGGTCGGCGCGATCTGGTGGACGACCAGCAGCCCCGACTCCACGAGGCGCATCACCTGCAAGTACGAGGCGTCGAGGGCCTCTGGCGAGTCGGCCGACTCGCAGGCCCGCAGCACCTCGGGCGGCACCTCAACCGGGGGCGGCAACGACCCGATGGCCCTGTGCGTCGGGAAGGGCCGCGGGGCCCGCAGCCTGCGCTCCAGCGGCGCCGCGCCATGCGCGCGCAGCTGTAGCCGCACCGCCGAGCGCGGGCGGAAGGGCCCAGGGACCACGCTGCATCCCTGCAACCTGTGGAGGAGGTCGTTGGACACCACGAAGAAATCCAGCTCCGACTCGACGTCCAATCCCTCCCTCATCGTCGGCTGCCCGCCGTCGTTGCTGACCGCCGCGCCGCCGATGCCCTGCAGCCAGGCCGAGCCCTCCTCGCAGAGCTGCTTGGGCCCGACGTTCCAGTCGCCCGCCAGGATGAAGGGTCTCCCCGCGGCGCGGGCTGCCGACCCCAGCTGGGCCAGCAGCGCCCAGGAGCGCTCCCCCAGGCTGTCGTTGGCCAAGTACACGCTGGCCATGAGCACTCCGCCGCGCTGCACGCCGCTGACGAGGACGGCCGTGCACCGCCCCTCCGCGTCGACGTGCCTGGAGCCCGCGCCGTCGGGCTCCGCCATGCCCCTGTTGGAGCGCACCACCACGCCCGTGCCTGACGAGGCGGCCCGGCGCTGCTCCACGTCCTGCGAGGAGGCACGCGCCACCCCCGCCGTCAGCGCGGCTGCCACGCCGTGCTGCCTGCACCACTGCTCCTCAGCTACCAACCTCTTGGCGAAGAGCTGCGTCTCCTGGACGCACCAGCAGTCCGCCCTGTGGCTGCGCATGGTGTTCTCGTCGCTCCAGAGCGCCGTCAGGGGCCCCCAGCCCGAGCCATTGGCGGAGATCACCACGAACTCGGAGCTGCGCTTGCCCCTCCTCCGCGCTGCCGCGCTGCTACCGCGGCTGCCCGCTGTTGACTGCGTGGGAGGGGGCTGCGCCGTCCACGACACCGGCGGCCGTCCGGCGCCGCTTGCACCAGCCTGCCTCGGCAAGCTGGGCCAGCTTCTGTTTGCGAGCGGCTCGAAGCTCGGCGGGGTCGTCACGCGCCCCAGCGCCGAGCCCGAACAGGTCCCAGGAAGCCTCGTCGCCATCAGGATCCAGATCAAGGTCCACAGCGGGCCCCGCCGGCTTGTGCTCGCCGCCCTTGTCGCCCTGCTCCGCGGCCGCGGCGGCCGCGGCGGCCGCGGCAGCACGCTCCGCTGCGGCTGCCTCCTCGGCGGCCCGCTGCTGCTGCAGCTGCTGCTCCTCCTTGGCCTTGGCGTCCTTGGCAAGGGCCTCCAGGCCGGCTGCCATCTCGGAGGGCACACCGAGGCCGACCTTGCCGCACGCCTGGCCGAGCAGCTCGACGAGCTGCGCCACGTCGTCGCTGACGACGGCCTCGGCTCGCGGCGGGCGAGGGCTGGCCTCCTTGGCGGCGAGCTCCGACGCCTTGCGCGCAAGCGCTTGGATCGACGCCTCGTGCTTGTCGACCACCGCCTGCTCCGCGTCTACCTCCGCTTGGTACTTCGCGAGCTCCGCGTCCACCTCCGCCTGGTACTTGGCACGCGCCTCCTTCTGGGCGTCCAGGCGGGCCAGGGCGCGCTCTTTCTTCTGCACGGCGGCGTCGCGCCGCTGGAGCACGTTCGCCAGCTTGGGCTCAGGCGGCGGCTCCGCGGCCTTCCGAGCTGCCATGTGCTCCTGGCTGAGCTGCACCAGCTGCACGCGATCGGCCAGCCCGCGGTACGTGGGGGCCCAGCTCTCGACCGCCAGATCGACGAGCCCGTACTTGACCTTGGCCGCCTCGAGGATCTCCACCTCCACGGCGAGCTGCTCCGCCGTGAGGGGGACGGGGCCCGAGGAGACCTGCACACCTGCCGGGGCCGCATCGCTGTCCTCGTCGCCTTCGCCCACCTCCATGTCGGCCCACGCGACGCGGCGGACTTGGCCCGCCCACGGGGCACGGCGTGGCGGCGCGGCGGGAGGCTGCGGCTCCCGCTGCGAGTGCCGCCTCCCCGCTGCGGCTCCTGCGGCTCCTGCGGCTGGAGGCGCGGCTCCTGCTGCTGGGGGCGCGGCGGGAGGCTTCGACTCCGTGGGTCTCTGCCGCTGCCGGGCTTTGCCCTGTCACCCTTGGCCCGCTGCGCACCGCACTGGCGGCAGGATGTGCGGCTGGCCCAGTTGCTGCACGGCGGGCCCTCGACGCCCCGCTTGACACAGGCCTTGCACGTCCACTCCGGATGCTTCCCCGCATCACCGCCTGCCATGTGACGGCTCGCGCCGACGCTGTTGTTCTCAAGCCTGCCGACGCAAGACACGAGCGAGAAAGATGCCAAAACTCCAGCTCGAGCCAATAACAACTTATAATGATGCTAATGATGCTGATGATAATGCTGCTGATGATGATGGTGATGGTGGTGGTGATGATGATGAGGATCATGATGATGATGATGCTGCTGCTGATGATGATGATGATGATGATAATGACGAACATGATGAAGCTGATGATGATGCTGATGCTGATGCTGATTATGACGCTGTTGCTAATGATGAGGACGATCAATCTGCTGATCATGATGATGATGTTGAGGATGAGGATAATGCTGATGATTATGATGATAATGTGCATGCTGATGCTGATGGTGATGATGATGATGACGATGACGATGGCGAGTACGATGGTGATGCTTATGCTGATGCTGCTGTTGATGCTAATTCTGATGCTGATGAGGATGACGATGGCGTTGGTGATGGCGATGGTTATGGTGACGATGATGGTGAAGGGCATGGTGATGGTCATGGTGATGGTGATGGTGATGAGGATGATGATGATGATGATGATGATGATGATGATGATGATGATGATGATGATGGCGTGATGATATTGTTGATGATGCTGATGATGCTGATGATGCTGATGATTGTGATGATGGTGATGGTGATGGTGATCGTGATGATGATTGTGATGGTGGTGCTGATGATGACGATGATGATGGATGACCATGTTGATAATGATGGCGATGATGATGATGATGACGATGATGATGATGATGATGATGATGATGATGATGCTGATGATGATGATGATGATGATGGTGATGGTCATGGTGGTGGTGGTGATGATGATGATGATGGTGATGTGATGGTGATGGTGATGGCGATGGTGACGGCGATGGTGATGAGGAGGATGATGATGATGGTGATGATGGTGATGGTGATGGTGATTGTGATTACGATGGTGATGATGATGATGATGATGATGGTGATGATGATGATGATGATGATGAGGATGATGTTGATGATGATGATGATTATTATTATTATTCTTATGTTGGTGGTGATGATGATGGTGATGATCATCGTAATTATCATTACTATGAATATTGTGATGATTATGATTGTGGTGGTGGTGGTGGTGGTGATGCTGATGATGATGCTGGCGACGACGATGACGACGGCGAGGACGACGACAGTCGGCATCTAAAGGACTCCAGAGGTATCCAGGTCGCCGGTCTCCGGAGGCCTGTGCAGGCTTCCAGAGGGCTGATGCGGGCCCAAAGCGATCAAAAACCTCGAACCTCGATCCTCGAACGACGACGACAACAACGACGACTACGGTCGGCCTCTGGAGTCCTCCAGAGGGGGTCACCAGGGTCTTCGGAGGCATTGGGAGGCCTCCGAAAGAGTGAGGGAAAAGCTACTGCCACCGCTGAGATGTCGACCCTCGGTTCGATCCTCGAGCCTGGGACAGGGATTTATAGATACCTGCCGCCTGGGGAACCAATCTGTCTGGACCTCGGGAGGCGGGGGATTCGAACATCGGCACCCTGGGGGCCCAAATGTGGTCATATCCACCGCCCCGCTGGAGCTCTGGGAGACTGGTTCACCCGAGGCTGCGGATGTATATATATATATATATATATATATGTGTATATATTTACGCATATATATATATATATATATATATATATATATATAAAAGCTTGGCGCGATGGCGACGACGACGACCGTGTGATCGGCCCCGCCCTTCGCGCCGCCGACGGCGAGAACCGACGACGGCCGACGACGACCGCCGCCGCCGCCGCCGACGACGACGACGACTATCGGCGCCATGGCGACGACGACGGTCGGCGACGACGACGACGACGACGACGACGACGATCGGCGCCATGGCGACGACGACGGTCGGCCGGGCCGACCCCCCCGGCGGCCCCCGAGGTCGGTCTCGGACCAGGCGCGCAAGGCGGGCCCTGCGCGCCCCGCCCGGGGGCGTGGTCGGTCGGGCCCCCCTCCGCGGGGGGCGCCCGGGGCGGGCTGAGCTGCCTCTCGTCGGCGCCAAGGGCCGTGGGCGAGAGGCTCGGATCGCAGGCCCCGCTGATTAGCGGGCCCTGGAAACGACAGGGCCGTTTTTCTACCAGTTCCGTTCTGCCGTTTTTTAGCTGCTTCCGGCGCCGTTTTTTTACCGGCTCCGTCGCCGTTTTTTGACGGGTTCCGGCTCGGGTTCCAATCCTGGAGCCGTTTTTTCGCCGTTTCTGGTCGCTGTTTTTTGGTCGTTTCCATTTTCAGGGGACATTTTTTTGGAAACGGTGAAAAACGGCCCTGCCGTTTCTGGGGCCCACAAAGGTTGACACCAACACCAATATCGTCAGTGTGCCTCCACCGGGCGAAGAAGAGTCCGATCTCGGTAATGGTGGTAGTATTCTGGCTCTCAGGGTGACCGAAATATTGCCGCGAGCACCGAAGTCTCTAGGATCACCTTTCCCCCTGTGGAGGCAGCCCCCCGTGTTGGTGTTGGTGCCCATTTCCAGGCCTCCAGTCAGAAGAGGACGACGGGACTGATACCGCTACCCGTCCCTCGTTTGCACTTCCTTGGGGCTCCCGGGAGGCCCTCGTCGCCACGGCTGGATTCGCTTCGGAGCTCTGGTCAGCACGCACCCCAGGAGGGGTCCCGGGAGTAGCGGTATTGGTACTTGTTGGTTTCCCCGGGGACATCTCGATATCCACGGCCTCGCGGGCCAGGCCCCTCGGCCGCGACGTCATGGATACGAGGCGTTTTTGTTCGCGGATGCCCCGCGCGGAGCGCATCCATTCGACGCCGCATCCTCGGGATAGCGCCCCGGGATCCAGACCCCGCGGGCGTGGATATGGATATTTTCGCCGTTCGTGAAAAGGAGGGGTCGCCACCTTTCGGGGGTCACCATTCCACCCTTGGGATCGAGGGCCGGGGAGGAGGGGGGATCGAGAAGGTGTCGGACTTTTTTTTGTCGTCTCTGGGAATCCCTGGGAGGTTCTCGGGGTCCCACGGGGGCGTCCAGGGAGGTTTGCTTCGGATCCGGGAGGTGTTCAGGGGCGTTTGTTTCCCAGAGGAAGTGGCGACCCTCTTGTAGGGAGCCCACAAAGGACGTACGCGCCCAGCTATGTACATGAACACGGCCCCTCGATTCGCGAGACCGGCCGCGTTATACGAACATTTGTGCAATGCGTGCTCTCGAAACCAGCGTGGATTCATGTACACGTACGTCCTTCTTTCGCTCCTGATCTTGGTGATACCCCCCCTCTGCCTGCCGTCATCACGAAGCAGGCGGGTCCTAGGTCCAGGTGATTTTTGGCCGTTTTCTTACACCTGCTAATGGGGTTCAGCCTTCTGAGGGCCGCATTGCATCAGTGCTACTCTGGGGGGTATCAAGTGACAGGCGTACGACAATACGTGTTCAGCGATGTCTCAAGCCCGACCCCTTCCCAGCCTTCAATCGTACATGTTTGGTTTAACGGACATCTCGAGCGAGAGCGCGAACAACTTGAAACCGATCAGCCTTGCATCCGCGTGACTCTTGCATGGTCAGCCTCCACGGCTCGCAAACCGTGAGGGGGGAAGGTCTCTGGCGACCTGCCCGGCCCCTTCTGCCGATCCGTCAGGTGGTACGACGGGAAGGCGTCAGTTGAAAGTAACCTGTGAGGGGGACGAGGGAGGAGGGAGGAGGAGGAGGAGGAGGAGGAGGAGGAGGAGGAGGAGGAGGAGGAGGAGGAGGAAGAGGAAGGAGGAGGAAGGAGGAGGAGGAGGTTCTCTGCCCATGGAGGGAAAAAGGTCGAGGGGGGGGAGAGAGGAAACACGGGGTGTGGCCGCCCATCCGAGGTGGCCTTTGTGAGGCCCGCATCGGGGCTCTGTCCCCCGCCGCAGGCCCTGGACAAGAGGGCCCCACCCCTCCGCACCTCGGCGGAAGTCTCCCTCGGCTGCCGCGGCAGAGCCCCCGCGCGCGCGCCTGGACGCGGCCTCCGCTCTGGTCTCGACAGCCCTGGCCCCCAGGGCCTCTGCCAGCTCGCGGCTCTCGAGTGCGAGGGTTTGCAAGCAAGCTGGGAGATCGAGGCGGGGGGAGGCTCTGCGTCCCACGAGAAAGGAGGGAGCCGACTTGGCACCGTAGCAGGTGCATCCTCGACTTCGACAATGCAGGGCCCACGGGTGGCTTCTGACGGTGTCCGAGGCTCATCGAGGGCCACTGAAGGAGCGTCAGGGCGAATCCTATCACGAGGCTTCTGCCTGACAGTGAAAGTCTTGCCGCCCTTGGGCCCCCTGGGCCCCACACAGGGCGCACAGAGGCCGCGCTGTCTGACGTGGTCTACAGCATGGTAGGATACCGAACAAGAGAGGATGGCCGCCGAGCCTGGGACCCCCCGCCTCGAGCACGGAGTGACCCCCGGCCCTGCAGGGACGGAACTTCCTGGGCCCCAAACCTCCATCCTCAAAGATCTCAGCATCTTCGTCCTCAGGCTCCTCCGCCCCCTTCGGCACCCAGCCCGGCCGCAGCCGCAGCAGCAGCAAGAGCGGGAGGCGAGGCAGCAGGGAGGCGAGGCATCGGGGAGAGGCGGCCACGAGTGGGGCCTCGGAGTTGCGGCGGACCTCCGCAGGGAAGTCCGCGGGGAAGGAGTCTTCCAACGCGCGGAATGACGACGATGACGATGACCATGACGATGACGATGTCGTCATCGCCATCGTCATCGCCATCGTCACCCAAACTCGGATCGCGTCGAGCCC